TAAACAACTAAAATTAATTACGGAGTTATTATTTATTTATAGTATTGTGATATAAATATAAATTATCATAATCACTATACGCACACGGCGCAGAGCCGATAACGTAGCCACCAGTCCAAGTCTAATTATTATTAATTTGTTTCTGACGACGTGTCGCAACTGACGAGGAATTAAGCCGAAAGGATGAATCATGGAAGCACGTAGGAAGCACGCGGGAGCTTTGTGGAGAACCTGGTGCCTGCCACCGATTAGCGTTAATCGCTGTTCATAATGAAGCTCGCGTACTCGCGTCGAGGATTTAGGTTAGGTTTCCTGCAAGTGCGCGCCATCTTTCATCCGCCATCTTGACGCTTTGTTTCTCATTCTATGGAACATTCTGTGGATCGAGGTAGCAATCGATTGCACGGTAAATTACCCCCGACGCCGATTACCGATCTTCTCATTTGTTTTTTTTCTCTCTCTCTCTCTCTTTAAACGTTTTCTTTCTCTTCAAGTGATTTCTTTTGCTTTCAATTTCATTTTCTTCTGGCGATTCTTCTTAGCCGGCAGCTAAGAAGAAGAGAGAGAAAAATCGAATTAACGATACTTGACAATACTTGTTTCCTCCAATACTTTATTATTTTATACTATATATATATATATTCATAAGCCACTATTGACTATCGATTGTGTTGCTTCGTCGCAATTTAATTAATTTCCTTATATTTGAATTTAATTAATTTCTTCATCCCAATCTTCATATGTACAGTAATTCATCATAATTGTTATTGTAATGAATACTCGCTTGTTCGTGAGAGGTGAAAATTTTGAAGAATATTATAATATAATATTCTTCAAAAGAATATTATAATATAATAATAAATATAATTAAATTTATGATATAATAATAAATAATAAATATTATATATATTATATTTATTATTATAGTATAATATTATATTATAATAATAAATATATATATTATATTTATTATTATAATATTATTATTATATTATTATTATAGTAATAAACATTATATTATAATAATAAATATAATTATAATATTATTATAATATTCAAAAGAATATTATAATATAATAAATATAATTAAATGACATCGATGTAAATGCGTCTAAAAGCACGTCTCTTTCACGCATTAAATAGCATATTCTCATTGTTAACTAAACAATAACTAAAAATTGAGAAAGAGAAGAAACTCCTCCACAAAATTCCCCCTTTCGACCAACTAATTATCCTCGTCGATCAATTTCGTCGATTCTCTGATTCTCTTTTTCTTTTTAGAGCTTAGAAACTACAATCAAAGCGTATCTCATCAGTCCTAAGTACAAAGTTATACGATTCACACAGCGTGAACTTGCAAAACCATAATGAATCCCTCTTTTCCATCTTTTTAACGATGAATATCGCGCTTAACGACGAACAGAGAAAACGTGTCGGATATTCGACTTTTGATCGCGATCGTTTATCTCCGGATGGGTAACGATAACGTTAAGCCGAGTTGAAACAGCTGACGAGAGACAGTGGATCGTTTGATTTCAGCGGGAGCAGACTGGCGGCAGAGAGGAAAGCTGAATGGAGTCGCCGAGACAAGGACGCTCGAAAATTCTCGCGGTGCTCTCGACATGGCTGCTGCTGGCCGCGCTGCCGGGTGCAATCGCCTCTTACAGCGTCGGCGTGGGCAGAGCAGACACCACTGGACCCGTCGCTGAAATCGTTTTTGTCAGTATTAACCTCCCTCCGACTCTTCAAATTCTTTAAATTCTTCGAATCCTTAAAATTCTTCAACTTCTTCAAATTCTTCGATTCCATAAAATTCTTAAAAATCCTTAAAATTTTTTAAAATAGTTAAAGTTCTTCAGCTTCTTCAAATACTTTAAATTTTTTAGATTCTTTAGATTCTTCAAATTCTTTAATTTTATTAACAGATTATGTAAATTCTTTAAATTTTTTGAATTCTTTAAATTTTTCAAATTCGTTGAATTCTTCAAATTCTTCGTACAGTAGAATAAATTGAGAGACAAATCGTGGTTGGAAGAATCAGGTCACAAATCAACTGAAAATTAAATAATTATGAAATACGTGAGTTTCTTGACCGAAACACACGTCTAATGATCGATAGAAAACCTAGGAAAATTTTCATCGTTTCTTCACCTGGTGTGCAATTCAAGAGCTTCCTCTCTTGAACTAGTGAAAGATCCATCCACGTAAACAGCTCGATCTAATTATCATCGTTTGCTATTTTCGAGCTTCCACACAGATAAACAATTCTCTTACTGTCCGAGTTACTTTGAAATTCTGATAACATTGATTCGCTATTTTTAATATTTATTAATATTTAATATTTATTTATTTATAATATTTACTAATATTTAATATTTATTTATTTTTAATATTTATTAACATTTAATATTTACTTATTTATAATATTTATTAATATTTAATATTTATTTATTTATAATATTTATTAACATTTAATATTTATTTATTTTTAATATTTATTTAATATTTATTAACATTTAATATTTACTTATTTAAAATATTTATTAACATTTAATATTTATTTATTTTTAATATTTATTAACATTTAATATTTACTTATTTAGAATATTTATTAATATTTAATATTTATAATATTTATTAACATTTAATATTTATTTATTTTTAATATTTATTTAATATTTATTTAATAATATTAACATTTAATATTTACTTATTTAAAATATTTATTAACATTTAATATTTATTAACATTTAACATTTATAACATTTATTAACATTTATTAACATTTAATATTTATTTATTTTTAATATTTATTTATTTATAATATTTATTAACATTCAATATTTATTTATTTTTAATATTTTTAACATTTAATGTTCTTATTTTTGCAACTGCACTTTTCCTGACATTGTATCCTACTGAATTATACGTATTTCCACAGTTTCCTCACTGTATATTGCTTATTTATCGTTGGTACGGAAATTTTTTTATTGTTCGCGTCCGTGGCATTCTCAAACGAGGGAGGGAACGAACGATTTCCCTCGGACGGAAATCCACGGCGTCGCCTCGAGACGAAACAATGTCCGATAGAGAGCAACAAACAAACGAAAGAAACAATCGTTGTTTCCTTGCGGTTCGTGCGGTGGATCACGTAGGATTGTTTGTTTTCCAGATGGGCTACGCGAAAATGGATCAGAAGGGATCAGGACTTCATCTTCGAACGTTCTCCCGTGCATTCATCATCGACGATGGCGAGGAGAGATTCGTCTTTGTCAGTGTCGACAGCGCAATGATAGGAAACGGCGTTCGTCAAACGGTAATTCCACAAAGAAACTTGAAGCCTTCTTTCTTCCCTCGTTCTTCCCTCGTCCTTCCCTTGACAGAAATTTCCAATCGCCAATTGGAAATGCCAAATGAACCTCCAAGTCGAATCCACCGTGATTTCTCTCCGCCTAGATATCTATTATTATTAATCTCTTGGTCGATTGTAGATAAGCAGTAATTTAAATAGTTTAATTGGAGACTTTTCTCGAGATATTGGATCGAGGAGGATAGATTATACATCAATCTTTCAACGATCGCGGTAGTAATAATCATCAGCGTTCGTTTGATAATTGAAATAGCTCGTGTTCTTGACATTTCGACGTTCCATTAGTCGCCGTGGTACGACAGAAATAACCAAATCCATCGTAACCTAATAATAATGTAATAATATATAAAATATTTATATATATATATATATATATATATATATATATATATATATATAAAATATATATTTAGAATGGACCAAATATTTAACCAAAAGGAAACATGGAATAGGTCTGTTGCATTTTATCAAATCATATATTTTGAAATATTCATTAAAAATCTAAAGCGTATCATTCTACAGAATTTACAGATATTAACTTATGATAGACTAACCTATGATAAATATTCACTGACTTATGATGCTAATTTAATCTTATGATTAAATACTAACTAAACGCACGCAACTTAAAGCTAAGACGCACGCATCCCACGATGTCCCTGCGTGATCCCTCGTCGTCCCAACATGTCTCTGCTAGATCCATCGTCGTCCATCGTTGCCCCACCGGGGGGTAAAATAGTTTACTTATCAATTGTACCTACAGTTCAGTTTAGATCGTGAAATAAAGAATGGAACGAAATTTTCACGATTTAAACTGAACTGTGCGTTGCGTAGTTCTTAGCTTGACATCGTTTCACAAACATTAAAGTCTATCGTTTTACTCTAACTTAGCTCGATAACGTTTTACAAACTTTAATGTTTGTAAAACGATATCAATTACCAGGTCTCACCACGAGGAGGTGACTACGCACGAGA